AGGGCCATACCCTTAAGGTAGGATTGGGCGAAGTTGACTTTAGCCCTTCCGGTACGGAAAGCCTTAGGCTTGCTCTGGAAGTTAAGCTCACACTGGACAAAGAACGCACGGAGCTTCCGTGGTTCGGATCCGTCGAAGGTATCCGGTTCTCGGACCTTGACTCTAGAATCTTTGGATGCGGGCGCGTGACGATTATTGCGAGCAAGGTTATCGATGGCTTCTGAGAGTCGAAGCATAACGCGGTCTTGTGGGTTTAGGCCGTCATTTTCATCATCCTCAACATCCGGATCATCATCCGGATCACCACCGTTATCATCGGGTGGATTACCAGGGAAATCATCATCACCATCATCGGGATCATCATCGTCCGGAGGTCCTACGGCAGGAGTGCGTGTTGGGGTTTCCGGGTGTCGACGATTAAGGAGTTCGGATATGGTTTGAGCGGTTCCATGGGTGCTAACACGGCGCTGAGAAAAACTGGTGAAGGTGTTGACTATAGGTGTCGGATCACGACGGAGGGAGGTTAGTCCGACCGCGTGCAGAGTTGTTTGTGTCTTGGTAGGAGGCATGATAGATGTTAAGTAACTCGGAAAGGTATGAGTTCGAATATACTGTTAAGACCGTACTCAAGTAGTATCGGATCCGAAGGGCTTCGGCCTCAGCTCGTGCGCTGTGCCCCTTTCCCGAGTCTTGCCCCTTATTTCAGAGAGCTAAAGTATCGCATCTAGTGAGACGGATAAGTATCGTAACGGATAAGTCTTGTATTGCAACGGATAAGTATTGCAATGGATCCGTTAAGACTTCCGGATATCGAACGTATAGAGTAACGGCTAATCCGGATCGGATCCGGACTAGAAACTAACGGGTGAGGACCGTCCGAAGACAGAGGCGGATATGTAGACTATAGGAATCTATCCTAAGTCTCGGAGTAGACAAGAGTAGCGTACTCAAGTCCGGATGGATAACGGAGGGACTTAGAGTCCAGACGGAATGAGTGCAATCTAAGATGATATTCGAACTGATCTACTACAGCGCATATACAAAGGTTTATATACTACGGATAGCTAACGGAATGATCAATAAGCAAAGGTGCGAGGCTATGTACGAAAGTATAAGCAAAGTCTAAGTGGAGCGTATTGGTAAGTTGGATGGATCACGAATCATGAACCGGGAATGAAGTACAAGTAAAAGTGGATTCGTAAGTGTAGCGGATCAGTAAGCATAGCGGATCAGTAAGCAAAGCGGAAGTAAAGGATAACCGGTATACCGGTGTACAGGAATACCGAAAGGAGATGAACGATAGTTAGAGTTATATGAACAGGAAATGAAATAAGAATCAAAGCGGATCTGTGGACCGGACGATGGATATGTTCATCGGATCTGGATCGGATCTGAGATCCAGATCATCGGATCTGTAACCGGATATATGGTATATGACAGATGTCCAGGAGGCCATCATGAAAAGTTGCGATGGGGATGAGGCGCACTGGTATCAATCCGCACACTCGGTACTTTGGGCGGAACGTGTCACTGTTCATCAAGCGACAGGACTTACACCTTATTTCATGGTTCATGGCATTGAGCCTATCTTCCCATTTGATCTTGCTGAAGGAACATTTCTAGTAGCGCTACCCGACCAAGACACCTTCTCAACGACGGACCTAGTCGCATGGAGAGCCCGACAACTGCAGAAGCGACAAGAAGACCTCAACGATATCAAGGAGAAAGTACTCAAGGCACGCTATCAGTCCATCCGCAACTTTGAGCAGCGCTATCGTCGCTCGATCATAGACTACGACTTTGCGCCTGGCGCACTCATTCTAGTCCGCAACTCTAAGGTTGAGTATGAGCTAAGTCGCAAGACGAAGCCATGCTATCTAGGACCTATGATAGTCATTCGCCGCACTAAGGGCGGGTCGTACATCCTTGCGGAACTAGATGGTTCTGTGTCCCGACTGCGCTATGCAGCATTCTGCCTACTCCCTTATCTTCCGCGCAGCGAAACTAAAGTCTCAGTTACTAGCATCACAGGCCTAAACGATGAAACACTGAATACCTTAGCAAGCGAAGACATAGAAGAACCACCCGACGAAGTGCTCGATTTCGACTTCAATACATGACCCGCCAGCATTCCTCAAAATACCGCCAATATACCCATTCCCGACATCCGCTACCTCTCACAAAAACACAAAAACATACCACTCTCACTACGATAGTCTCAGTTCCACCCGGGTTTAGTCCAGTGTCTCAGTTTCATTCTTCCGCTCTCAAGGACTCATATATGTTACGCGCCATCCGCGCATAGACTTTATATTGCAACACAGACATTACAAGGATTGGACTATTTCGCGCGAAAGATTGATTAATGTACATTTTCCCTTCGAACGCGTAGGCAGTGCACCACGCTGTTAAGACCGTAGCTCAAGGGTAGACGGATCCGAAGGGCTTGGCCTCAGCTCGTGCGCTGTGCCCCTTACCCGAGTACGTGCCCTTAATTTCAGAATGAAGTCCAGATGGAATCCGACGAAGTCCGAAGGACTTCCGGAGGCCGGCTACTCTGGTTGAGTGCTGGAGGACTTCCGGATGAGCGCGGGAAACTTTCGGATGAGTATAGGAAACTCTGGAAGAGTTTCACCCGCTGCATTAGATCCAAAGGTAAGCTCTATAGATGGAAACACATAGAAGATAGGCTGCAAGGGACAGAGTCCAAAGCAGGATAGGGTAGGAGGAGTGGTCCGAAGGACAGGACGTCCGGAGGTCCGAAGGTTTAAGACGTCCAAAGGTTATGACGTCCAAAGGTTACGACGTCCGGAGGACCGGAGGAGCGGACAGGATTCTAGGACAAGAGAAGAAGGGCTACAACGGACAAGGTCCGGAGTAGAAACAGACGGAGGTAGACTACACTATGGTAGAGTCGGATAGACGGGGTTTAGACAGAAGTCTCGGAAAGACAGGAAGTGCCAGAAAGGCAAAGCTTCGGCTTAGGGAGTCAATCCCTAAGCATGGATATAGACGGAAGGATAAATCCGGAGGACCGGAAGGTTGGCCTAGGGAATCCTTCCCTAGGCCTAAGGAAAGGCAATACTAAGATGGACCGAAGTCCGAGATCAGAATGAGTGAAGTCTAGGATGCGAGAGAGCAAGTCTATGTTGAGCAGGATCTAAGATGATATTCGAACTCAGGAAACTTTACAGGAGTTGTACAGAGGTTTATATACTGGACGGGATCCGAGAGGATCAGTAAGCTGAAGACAAATGCTATGTACGAGCATGTGGAAACATATTGGTAAGTATGAACGGAACATAAACAAATGAACTCGGAGATGAACAAAGTACAAGGATCAATAAGCAAGACGGAAACACAGATAACCAAAGTCCGGAGTCAAGAGGATTACCATAAGGAGATAGACGCTGATTTAAGGTTTGAGCTTCGGATATGAGTATAGGTCGGATCCGGAGGTCTAGAGATATCGGATGAGGCGTCTGGATATCGGATGAGCGGATCCGGAGATCTAGGTGAAGACGAGACTAGGATATAGATCATGGATATCATCCGGTAGTCTAGGGAAGGTAAAGTCTCAGGTAGGATGAGCTCGGATCCGATGGGATCAAGGGTGGATGAAGCAGGCTTAGCTGCGGAGGTCCGAAGGTATGGATATATGGATGTACGAAGGTGTACGGATCCGAACCAATAGTGGACTGGAGGACTGCAGGCATGGATAAGGGTATGGAGTCATGGATAAGGGTATGGAGGTCCGGATGTGCATCCGGAAGGCGTCCGGAAGGCGTGGGAACATCATCGGACGTAGGTCCAGAATACAGGATATGACACACGCACATTGACATGGTTTAGGGATTAAGTCGCTGTAGAGACTCGCGTTTCTGCAGGCACATATGGGCACATTTCGCACCTTTTCACAACTCATGACAATTGGCCTTCAATGCACAACTTGCACCATCAGCTATATTCGACTTCTATCATGTCTCTAGTCGTTTTGCACATAATGCGCAGCTTTCCCACGAAACACGCCATAGGCGCGCTACTTTCCCACACAATGCGCAGCATTCCCGCGCGTTTCTCACGCTTAAGCACACTCCATTGCGCATCATCCAGGAGCATCCATCCGTTGTCCAACCAGTTCCTAGGTGTGTCCCTTTTCATTATCAGACCATATTTAGCCTATTACACTTTGTATTTTGTTATGCACCCTTACTTTACATCATTTTACCTCACTTACATACTTTCATGTTTGTTTTACACCTTAGCTTACTACCACATCTTTCTACCACCATGTACTTGGCAGTTAGTTCCATGCAATGCATGTGTCCATCATCGTCTTAAGGCCCTAGCATCAGTCTAAAGCTAGTGGCAGTATCAGTATCCATCTATATCTGCGCTTTTCACCATATTATCGTCTCTCTACACTTGTGCACTGCTTGCACTACCATCCCAGTTCTCTGCGCATTTTCGCCTTTCGCACCTTCACCTTCCCGCGCTTCGCGCATTTTTCGCGTTTCACTTTCCCGCGCGCGCCTTGAGCGCATTTCTCGCGCTTACATCGCCCTTTTGTCGCCTTTGATCAGGGTTGATCAGCATCATTTCGTGGATCCTTGCTTTCTTTGCTTCCCTTAAGGGTCGAACATATCGCACGGCATATTAAGACCCAACATAGAGAGTGTTTGCTTGTCATCTTACTTGCAGTCACCTTTGTTGACCAATTGACCCGACTGCGACTAGTATCATTCACCTTCTTCCGCATCGCGACCGCGTGCTCATTTTACCTTACTTATCTCTTAGGCACCCAGTGGAGCTAGGATCGGAACATTAGCTTTGGACATGGGACATAGGACTCAAGATTACCTGGACCAGGACACACAATCACTCAGGTTATTCATGCGACCCGACATTCAATTCATGCACTATCATTCACAAGCTACATTGTACACTAGCGCACTAACAAAATGTCCAAAGAGGAAACATGCGACCCCAAGGAATTGTATCTACAGGAGCCTCCTCCTCTTCTTGCACCGTACCGCCAAGGAATCCACCTCTGTCATCATCTCCAAGAGCATGCCATGCATGGTGAGCATCCTGGCATACAACATCCGCACCTTGCTCTCCAGAAGGATATCTTCATCCGCCGCATCAACATCCACCAGAGGGTCGAAGTCCACGTTGATACCTTCCAACTTCTGCTTACGCGACTCTTCTACCGACTCTTCTTCCTCCTCTTCCTCCGCTTCCTCCTCTTCCTCCTCTCCCTCTCCCTCATCGGAAGAAACTGTCACATCCTCAGGAGTGGTCCTGGGACAACGAATCAGAACGCCCGCTCCCGAAGTACCTGCGGCGGGGGCAGAAGGCACCTTGGCCACAGCAATGGCACGAGCAGCAGCCCTCTCCTTGACAACTGCGACAAGTATTAGTAAAGGAAGCCATGCGACAACAAGACCACTTACCGCCACGCCTGTGGGTCGAGTAGTCGCACTTCTTTCGCGAGTCCTTGCAAGAATCGCAAGCAGTGTTGGGCTTTCCAACGCAAGGTTTTTCCGCCTTTAAGCACCGCGTACAAGGCTTGGCATGGGCGATCGAAACAGCTGTACGCGACGCCTTCTGCAAAAATACTAAGTCAGGAAACAGACAAGGCAAGGAAACCGCAGTACTCACTAAGGACCTTCCCCTACCCGCCATAGCGCCAGTAGTCTTAGCGCGCTTGGTAATGATAACCCGCAGGGGACGAACTGGGGCCTCTTCTTCTTCCAACTCTCTCCCTCAGCGTCAGCATCACCATCAGCGTCTTCATCACCCTCTCCCTCACCCATAGTGACATCCGTCTCAATCGCCTTCTCCTTTCCCTTCTCCTGCTCCTGCTCCTTCTCCCTACTCTTCTCCCTCTCCGCAAGTTCCAGCGCAGCCTGTTCATCCACCAGGTGCTGAACCTCCAACTTGTAGGCGTGCACCTGGGCGGAATAAGTCTTGTGGGCGTCTTCAGCCTTGCGACCCATAGCACCTTCTTCAGAGGATAGCGCAAGACTCATGTTATAAGTCTTGCAATCAAGAGCATTAGAACTAAGCTCCCGCTATAGCGAAGGATTAGCGACCATGTCAAAAATCGGGAGATGGAACTTACCATGAGCTGGTTCCAGTCGCGCAACCATTCCTCCTTACGCTGAATCAACTCTGGTCAGTCCTCGGGAATGGCATTGGCCAAATTCACCATGCGAAGTCGGAGATCAGCGAATGCACGTTGGAGTTGGTCGACGTTTGGGTTGACAACTTCAGAAAAGTTGAAGGAAGACATGATAGAAAAAGTATGAGGATGAGGGAACGAAAGAAGGAAAGTCGGAGGGTTCTTATAGGGACATGTGATTGAGTCCACACTTCCATTGACCCCGACTCACTCTTCGTGACCACCACATGTTTACACTTCCATCCACTGTTCCGGCTCATCGATTGTGTCCACCGCTTCTATCAAATTTTCCGCACCCCGATCATCACTTCCATATTGGGTCGCCATCGATTACATGCCCTTATCGATGGGCGAATTTTTGCTAAGTCCAAATCACGACATGAGACCAACTGGGGACAGTCGGTATTTGAGTCTCCCGCAGATGTGACAATCATACCAGCGCTAGGCGCATATGAGTGTCATAGGCATATTTTGCCTTGCATAGAGGAAAAGAGTAAGGCGCTAGTCATCAGCGCTATTCAACTCCCAAGCTATCCACTTTGGAACCGCTTTTCTCCCATAGCGCGCTGCCCGGCCCGACGCCTAGGTATTCCGTCCTCCCATGTCCTGCCTATGTCCACCTACCTCCGCTGGTGCGTTATTTTTCCTTAAATGTCACTACTCATCAGTCACAGGTCTTATTACATGTATCCTCATGTTCCACAGCGCAGCATGTTTTCTTACCTGTCACTACATCGTGCCCTCACCAGTATCGCTACTGTTCTCGCCTACACATTCTCGAACTTTTACGCAGTATGATAAAATGACCCGTCACACATACAGTACAGTACTTCCCTTCCCCAGACCTTTGCTGGTGTCGGAGTCACTTTAGTTGCTATATCCTAGTCTTGGAGCAATCGATTCCGCTCTTGCCAATCTCTCTGATCGCGTGTCGCTTGACTTGTTTTAAGTGCGCGTCACTAAAGTTCCCTCTAAAGTTTGACTTTCGCAACGTCAGGATCACTATCAGTAGTCGAGCTATAATCTAGTCGGTATCAGGCATTTCACTTGCACTGTCTTACCTTAACTCCTCGCTTTCGCTTCCTTTGATTTCTTCTCACTGTCACTAGTCGGACGTCGCATAGGACAACTTGCATAGCGCTTCTCACTTACATGCATGTTTCTCTGTCGGAACTCACTGGTCAATAGTCGCTGATTGCTACAGCGCTACTCATTGGTTTTTGGTCTTAGGTCGCTATAGGTTATTAGTCCTTCGCGCTATCGCTACCCTTGCATATTTGAAGGGAGTTGCTTCAATAGCAGTCCTCTTGGGTCGAATACTACACTTGTGCCTATTTGGATAAGTAGCGCTAGTTTCTAACAAGCCTAGTTGCTATTTCTCTTTCACATCAGGCTTTGAGATGACATTGGAAAGGTAAGCAGGTTAATCCTCGAGAGCCAAGTACAACCAAGCTGGGAGTTCTCACTGTCCCCATACAAATTGATGGAGGCAGGCCCACCAGCAGCATCATTGAAGTCGAGCTTGCTGACACACTTTCATGGTGGCACTGCCACCAGGATCAATCACTCAATCAGTATTTGGGTGGAGTATGAAAACCCATCGGTGCGTCAGACTGGATTGTCCAGGTGCACATGATACCCATACTATCTGGCTGGATTTTCACCTCCCAGAATTACATGTACACAAGAGTCTTTTTTACTCCAAGTAGATGGCAGATATGTTTAATGGAGTGCCCACATCGACGGAGAACAGGGATTTGAGCCTTTAGATCGTTCGAAACAGTGCGTGGCGGCATTGAACGACACGCTGCGCAGCGCAAATCTCACAGTCATATGCTTACGGGGTCCTTGTTCGGCCGTTTCCGACGCTCAAGTTTTGATTTTTCGATTCCGCATAGTTTCGGAATCAGCTGTAACAATTTCCAGATGGGCCCTCCAACGGAGGCTACTATCTATCATGGCTGCGTTGTCACCCCCACAAGTCGTCACAACCTAAATATCTCACTCAATTCTTACTTCCACACATAATTTACAACTTCAAGCAGTGTTGTTAACATGTACCATTCATTGCGAGGTTGAACAACTGATTTTCATGAAGAAATGATGAAGTTCTTTGAAAGCAGCCAAAGTCACGCTGGTGACAGCTAGCCGAACGTTGCCGCGGCGGAGTTCTAAACCAATACTGCGTGACGACTTGTAAATAGCCGCCCGAAAAGTAAAGTAAATCATCCCACATATGAGCAATTGAGCAAACGGATCGGCTTTACAGGGAATCACGAACAAGATCGTAGTACAAGACCTTATTATATTCCACGCCATACCGGTCAATTCACAATCATAGTTTTTCGTTCTAACATAACTGCTGAAGCGCTGACATCTTAGGTATTGCCGAGCGGACTTAGAAATGGCAGCTGTGACAAAAGCGTTACTTGACGACTTATGGGGTGACGACTCAGCGCTGCAGCCGTGATGGATAGTATTCCACCAGTTTGGGTACAAATCAAGCAGGATCCTGGGATGGTGACATCATGGTGTAGAAATGGATCTCTGTGGGTGTGGTGGCGAAGGTTGGTTTTTCCCGTTGCGCACTGTACTTACTTCCAACAACTCCTATGGCAGAGAATGACCTTTACAATCTTGAAGTACTCTCCCTAGTCGCTAAAATTACCCAGGAGATTGACAACTATACTGGCATAAACGATAAAACACTCGCTGAATTTGTCATTTCTCTCCACGACCAGTCTAAATCACTTCCCGACTTCAAATCACAGCTCAGTAATGCTGGCGCTGAATTCCCCGACTCGTTTATTGAGAACGTGGATCGTTTAATTCTAAGCTTGCATCCGAAACACAAGAAGAAATCCAGTTCAGTTACTCATGGCGCCTTAAACGCCCTAGCGAACGGAGACGCGCTTGATCGTGAAAAGGACAAGCAGAAACGACTTTTCCCTGGGCTCGCTGTGCCAGACAAGGAGGTAAAGAAGGATGTGCTCATGAAAGAGGTGGACGATATGATGGCTCAGTTTGAAGGTGTTGCGAAGAGGGCAAAAACAACAGACGAGGATGAGAGACCTGCGATGCGGGAACGAAGAGACCGATCTCGGTCACGGTCACCACACCGTCGTAGTCCAAGCCCTGACAGGGGTCGCAATTACAACTCAAGGAGGGATGATTGGAGGGGGAGAAACGCAGACGAGCGGCCGGTATTGTTTAAAATCTACAGTGGCCGAATATCAAGCCTCAAAGATTTCGGCGCTTTTGCGCAACTGGAGGGTGTTGCGGGACGTATT